CTATAAGGTTTGTTTCACTTCACTAACTAGGACACTGTTTCAGTTTTACATTGATATCTTTTTGTCAGTAATACTTCCACGCCGCTTGTGTGAGAACACATGAAGTTAGTGAAAGTAGCTGACTACCACTGATTTATAATGAAACTATATACATCATACTTGATGTTAGATGCTTGCATGCAAGCGTCAGGATGCCCTGGATCCACAATGATCGATCACTGGGGGCAACCAGTTTCATGTTGACCGGATTCTGTCGATGATTTTACAGTTTGGCCACCGATCTAAGAGACTCACCATATCGGTGCGCTTCGATTTCTGTTAGATGATTGGAAGCAATTGTCAGAAAACCCTAGACTGAAGTTTCTTTACTCCTTAGCGACTAATCTATGCGCGATAATTACTTCAGTTTAATCTTTTGAGGACCTTGATTGATTCTGAGCGAAACTGTACTTGTAACAACGTTTATCAAGTATGAAAATCTTTATTATTATATGGTATTATAAAGCTCCCTGAGATATATTTGAAAATACCTGAGACTTACAGGTGATCACTAAAGGTAAATATTTTTATGTCTCTTAGAGGAAACAATAAAAATACACTTCCAGAGACTTGCTGTTCAATTACATTACCTGGTTGAGGCATCTACTGATTTTTATATACATAATATTAAAGCAATGAGGAATATTAAAATAGAGATTCATAAAAGTAGTTATTAGCTTCAAAGGGAAAAGACTATGCGTCTTGGTCGACTGGAAAGAACAATGTGCTGCAGTAAAATCTGACACCACTTCTACCGTACATTAAAAAAGTCTTTTGTAGTTCATAAATAAAGCATTTTTCCTTATTTCCACTCTTTTTCATAACACAAATGTTTCTACTGAATAAGTAAGATTTAATATAATCCCAGCGTGTCTGGAAAATCAAAAAAATATTTTAAGTGCAGTGCGCAACCACGACCCCGCCAGGGACCGAACCCGCGACCTCCAGGTTCCATGGCCAGCGCGTTACCATTGAACCACTGGGTCTCAGTCCAATGGTCGTAGGGGGAAGTGATGCATGTCGGCATTGTCCTTTCAACTGAACTCAACAAAAGTTTCATTGACCTTACGTGAGGAACACAAAAATCTACTAAAATCATTTAAGTAAGTTGGCTATATTTCTACATAGTCTCTGTGATTTACGTCTCCTTGGTGACCACAAGTCTGATTACCTTCCAGTCCTGACTAACCACTACTCAATGAGCTTATATTGAAACTAACTCATCAATAACACGCAATGACATGCGAAGAAATTTCGAACAAGGATTCAAACCAACCATCTGTCATTAATTTACATGAACATTGTTTCCACTTCAACCAGAGTTTACAATTTGAAGAGAATACCATCTCTGTCATGTGAACTATGACTAGTCATCATAACTGTAATGACAACACTAAATTTTCTGTTAAGTTAGTTTTATGCCCCAGAAAACACCTGCAACATGCAATACACATTTTCATTTGATTTTGACCATTCTCAGGTCGTGTACTTTTGTATAAATTGTCACTACTAACCAGAAATTACAAGCTGTTTTCACTTACTCAGGACCATAAATCTTTTAGCTTATAAGAGGATCGATGTAAAAAATTGCAGTTCATCCCCGAGTGAAATGTATACACATGGTAAAAGTGCGTGCAACACCATCAAAACAATGTTGTCCTTTCAACGACAGAAAAGAACACTAAGTGAAATGTATTAATGTACACGCATCACTTGTCAGAACTTATTGATCATATTACTAGAGTGTACTCTATGTATAATACTAGCTGAATATGCTTAGAATTCTGTTTATAAAATTTAACATTTCGGTCTCGTCCGTCATGTACACAAAGTGAGCAGTCTGGTGCATTGTGTCCAAGATAAGTAAAAGAGATATTTGCAGAAAATTGTACACCTTTTTTAGTGGAGTATAAAATACGATGATAAAGTAGAGCATAATTTACAGTTTTAATACATTCAGCTGTCATTAAGGGTCCTGTGTTTTTGTTAAGCACAGGTTGATTTTCTCATATTTAAATCTACTTACCAATTTTTATGTTTCCCAATATCCGAATATGAAATCGTACATCCATTCACAACTATAATTGTATGCAGACAAGCTTGAATAAACTGAGAACCTGACATAAACAATGCAATTCGTTGGTAGTATTACTTTCTAAAAACCGTTATACTACTTAGAATAGTGTAAACATATGTGAAAAGGTTATATAGCCCATAGGTACACATGTAGCTGCATAAGCGAAAAGAGTAAAATTTAAAAATGTTTCTAGTGGTATACCTATAAGATCTACAACTTTCCTCGCCACTGCTTTGTTATCTCGTCCAGTATCTCATATAGACTTCCTATGGGAAAACAGTCAGAATCAATTGTTGAAGACTGTAAATGATACGGTTCAAAATAAATCCCAGTTGCCAAAAAGTATCCGCAGCTTATCTCCATCCCGATCACTCCATCAAATTTTGTTTTCTGATTTGTCTTCTTTACATCTTATGGTCTTCTACAACTTTTGACAACATCAGTTTTACTTTCTGACCTTCATTTTATTTCTTTATATCTTTATGTGTTAATGTGAGGTGTAAAAAGTTGAAAAGTGATGCAGTTACATCAGGTTAGATGCTGAAATGGATTGATATATACTACCTGTCAACATTATTGTCTGCAGACCACTTACGTTAATCTGAAATGCCCGTTAACCGAACCAAAGAAATCTGCTCATTCGACAATCCTTTTCTTCACCCGAAAGCAAGTTCATCAACAATTGACCTGGACAGGAGTGGTTTGCAACTGCTCATCTAACCTGGTAGCATATATTGTAATGATGTCACGCTCATAATCTTAACCCCAATGACCGTGTCAAACAGATGAAATGTTTTCTTACAAATATTTCAATTTACAAGTGAACTACGTTGAAACTCAGCAAATAAATCTCAATTAAAGTATCATTGTCAAACTAAACCAAGTATTTGGCTGTACACACGTTCGTAACCCACATTTGGTTTTTTATTATTACAGTCACTGGTTCGCTAATCTGGATTCATTTTAGATTGATGTTTAAATCTCGTTTATAGAAATATCAGAGAAGTTAGAGTGGGATACCCAGGTAAATAAACACTAACCGCTACAGTTAATATTCGAAATCAATGTAAATCTAGATTGGCCCCTGGATAATCTCTCCATGAAGTTATTTTGCCAATCCCAGTGTCACAAAATATTCTCACTTCTTATTCAGGGCTGAAGTACTGTTGAAATAATCAGTAGATCAGAGTCTTTCTTTTGGAGTGTTGCACTTTTCCCCTTCGTTAACAAATGATTCATTCTATAGATGGCGTATGGCGAACACTTTAAAAGACTTCTCAACATATCATACAAAAAACAGTGCTACACAGTGTGAACGAAATCGAGATATAAAAGTACACAATATATACAAAGCTGTCGACAAGAAGTTCGATCCCTAAGACACTTTTTTATCATACTGGTACAGTGTGTATGCGACCTGAAGAAAAACATTTTCTATCACAGATGAAATCCATCGTTGTTTTTCAGTCACAGACATTGCCACTGAGAATTCGGTTACCATTGGGGACTAAAATATGCAATACTGACCAAACAGTGTACATCTACATCGCTGATTACAATAAAACATTTAGAGGGTAAAACAAAATGCAGATGAAGAGAGAATTTAGCCAGGAAAAAGTGTTCCGGGTAAATGTGTGTTGTTTAGACCCCTTGTTTGATGGGAAGCACTCAACATAAACAAATAGATCTTTCTCCTCTTTTTATTCCAAATGCAGTTTCATAACTTCGAATCACTAGTAGTCATAAACACTTCTGAGGTGTCAAAACGTATTCAAACAGAATGTAAGTCTGATTGAGGGTTTAACTATGATTTTTGTGTCATAAACATTTTAACTACACAATCTTTCGAAGAATTTTTTCTCCATTTGTCAACACCCCAGCGAATTCTGTGGAGATATTATACTGTCTTTGATAATTTAAGTTTTCCGTATGATTCAAGAATAATTACATAAATACAAGTTACATAAGCAAACAATGAGATAAACTTCGAGAATTTACAAAACGGTCAGTAGATTCTTTTCTGTATCTATCCCCGTTCTTGACATTTTGATTATTATTATTATTATTATTATTATTATTATTATTATTATCTTGGGTTTCCTCGTTATAATACTGTCACTTCATTTAGCGCTACATTTAGCTTGATAACTGAAATAGACTAACTGTTATGGTTTCAATATGAACAAAATAAAATCGGAACCACAAACTGATTTCAACGTTCCTATCAAACAAACTATCACGATATCTCAGTCAAAACCACAGTTTTCACCGATATACTTTAGAGGTGGGTGACACATGTATGAGCCTCATTCTCTTGAAGTTACCCACTCTTCTCTTTGGTTTATGTTGACAAGTACAAAACCTAGATAAAGGGATATCTGCTAAATGAATCCAACCACCAAACATCTATCTAAACAAGGTGATTACAAGTTCACCAGGCTGGTGAGTACACTACCAACTTCATCAAAAGAATTCGGTCACCACTTGAGACTAGACAAAACAAAATGACTACTGCTGAGCAATCAATCCAAGTAACCTGCTTCATTCTCACTACTGCGAGAATTCAATGAGTGTAGGAATTATCGGTGTGAAAGTCTAGTAATATTCATTTCAGTTTACAGCTAAAGCATTACATTATCCTTAATTTAGACAAGCTTTATATACTTCAATGATTTCCGTTTTCTGAATGATTATCACTCTCAGATGACGAAATTTCTACCTCTATATATAAGGGAATTTTTACGTATATTAACAGTATGCTCATTCTTACCTAATCATTACTGTCCGTTTTGTTGTTAGTCTTTCTTACTGACTGTTAATTTACATTTTTAAAAACTCCACTTCTTACAAAGACGGTTGAAAATGAATAGAATATTGAACTCACCTGTATGAGTTCTGGTATGACGTTTCAAGTCAAATGTGTCATTGAATCCTTTGAAGCAAAATTTGCATAAATATCTGTGTAGTTGACTATGGCATTTTATATGTCGTGTTAGAAGACGTAATAGTTGAAAATGTTTTCCGCATGCTTTACAGACATATTCATTTGGGCCTGTTTGAGAAGCTGAATAAATAAAGATAAAATGCGAAAAGGAGTATTTAAGCTGAAACTGAAAGACGCTTATATTTACTAAATTTTTTCACTGAGTGAAACCTGCATTTCACGAATTGGCTTCAGTGAAAATTCCCAATAAAACCTGCTGTACTTTTTTTTATCAATATTAGAAGGCACTCCCTTCAACTGCTGTCATGAACCATTACTTTGAAAATCATCGTCACTCGAGGTTACACTGAGAATTCATTCAGCACCCAGAATATATTCTTTTTTTATAACAGAAACAAACAGCTGACTGCCTAGAATGAAATGTTTTTACTCTCTACCTCTTCTTAGGCATAATTTTATCAGGCTAGGTGACTGTTATTTGATTCAGATTGCCTAAAACATTAAGAAAGTTTATCGATACGTTGTGTAATACCAGTGTTTATCATCATTACTATATGAGTTCTATCGCAGTCCTCCGTAAAACATGGACGATTATAATCGATACATTAAGTTATAAGAAGCAATCTTAAGTTAGCCAGTCTAATGATCAATCTCCCAAATTAAGTGCATAGGTTATGAAGCTATGTAGTTTAACATGACAAGCGAATCTACACACCGAAGGGTATATGGCCCCAGTAGATACAAAAGCATTATGGTTACAATATATTGTGAATTCTGGTTAAAATTCAGGACTATATGTCGGGACATAGCTAAAAGACAAGATGGTTATCTGTATATTTTTTTTTAAGTTGCTGTGCTATAACAACATCAATTATATATAACAGTGTTTGATCGACAATGACCCTTTCGCTCTTCAAACTAGTCTCACAGTTACCTAAAATCATGATGATTCGCTTTGGGTACAAGTATTTGCTCATTCACTATAGAAACTATAATTCTGCAGCATATCATATGGATTGCACAAAGCCTTATAATTATTCGAACGATCCTAGAGACCAGTATAACAAGTAATACATCCAGTAATAGGCAGAGGATACAGGTCATTCTGATAGTATACTTCATGAAAATGAAAAGCCGGAGGAATTTATGAAAGTTTAATTTCGTGCATTACTTATTTAGTAAGCGTGAAGGGAAGCAAAGCTTCTAAGCATGATTCAACTCAAACTTTAAAATAATTATATTGAAATATTTCTTTGGAGACAAACTGTGACGTGACAGAAAAGTTATTGCATATATTTTGCTATCAAGAACTCTGTTAACTGGGTCAAGTAATTTTTTTCCTTAGTCTTGAGTATAAGAAAATAATTTTTCAGAAAACTCTGAAGTCTGACTGCGTAACCACTTACCCTCATTTGCAAGGTATAGTTGGAATTCATGTTCCCCAGGCACAACAATAATAATAACCGCTCTATTCCAAACCACATATGTAATACATTACTGAATTTTCAGCAAATATTTTAACAGATACGTTCCCTCGTACAATAATTTTAAAGGAAATAATTATTGCATCTGAACAGCGTTAAGAATAGCAGCATTAAAGGCATTTATGGGAAACGGATAGCTGGTGTTACATCATCGTTTTGTCTGGACTCCGGGGGTGAATACAAAATCGAGTGTATTTATGATGGTCTTGGTTCAATCAGCTAGTACAAAATTCTGCCATTCACTATAGGTATATTAGAAATAGTACTGTGCTGTATTTTTGAGCATTTATATTTCCACTTCTATCTGTCGTAACTTTCTCAGCTTGAGAAACGACAGTTTGAAAACATTTTAAAAACTTGCTAGAGTACATGTTACATTTAGAAGACATATTTAAAAGATTAAAGCAAACAGAAAGGGAAGAATTTGATAAAATATATTTGATTATAAAACGTTTTGGTAGCCCAAGGTTTGAGTAGGCCACTTTATACATTTAAACCAGGATTACTCTCAGCCAAAGCCATAGACTGTCTTAAAATATGTCAATTTCAGAATGACCCTTATGAAACTGTGTATAGAAAATTTAGTTTCTGAATGGTGCTGACTGTGATACATCAGCCTTATTTGCATTTTTTTACTTATATTTGAAGGTAATCTATATCTTATCATTGTCAATTTCGCACCCTCCTACAAATGGATATGCGTACCTCGAGAATCACCTAAAACCACCCACATAATTGTGCTTGACCACTCTTAATAGTTCATTTATTTATCATAGTAGTAGCAATAATCAGTCATCCTTCGGATGAAACAGACAACCAACATTTTGCAGCCCTCTTTTCACAAAGAATGACTCTTTGTTCTATTATAAACGATATCTTTCAACTCAAGCCTGAAATTTGAAATCATTAATTAACATGTGAAGACTTGACACAAAATGCATACATTCAATATGTGATCCACCGAACATCCATAAACTTTAGACATTGTATATATGCTGCCGGTACCGTTATGTTTTTCGACACACTTTTATACAGAACTACTGTCGTGCCAAATAAGATAATACACAAGTCAACAGGTCTGTTCATATTTATCACCTGATTTTGCAACGCATCTAACATATGAGCACTGAAATTATCATTCAGAGGCATTAAAATCCAACATTTTATATCTAAAAATCTGGATTAATGAAACAATATATTTCATTGGAAGGGGTGTTCAGTAAAGAATTTTTAACTAGTTTTGTCTATGTTCAGCAGTGATTACCTTACATACAACCGTTGTCTTGTGATCCACATAGTGTAGATGCATTCATAAACACTGAATATGCAGATATCAAAGGTTCATAGTACTTAGCTGTTGCGTCCACAGTCTCAGAAACAAATGGAAGATTATTCGACTGGACGCATAAATCATTCGTTAAGCATTATTGGTTAAAATTTTAAACGCTACGACAAATTAGCCAGGGTAATCATGATCATAAAGTCAAGAATAGAGCCTAAAACACTGTCAAAAGCTATGAAACAACTTTCAAATGTATTTTGGGGTTATTACGGAAGTGAGCAATAATGCGGATGAAATACTTTTAGTTATTACTATACGATGAAAAGAAAGATTTGGGGTTATATTCTTATTCCTTTAAAGTTCTACTGATATTTGCATCTTTTGTACAAAAGAGTAGCAGGGTTGCAGTTGGAATAATGATGCACTAAGAACCAACTCTAATTTTATTTAAAGATTAAAACAATTTCCATGACTTATTGTATGAAAGGACTGGGAGTTGATGTAATTCAAGCTGGAAGCCGTTGATCACAGTAGTATAAAAAAAATCAATTTCCAATGGATTGAATCCTACTTTATTATATATATTATACATATATATATATATACTGTGATGTATTTTTGAGCATTTATACTTCCATTTCTATCTGTCGTAACTTTCTCAGCTTGAGAAACTACAAGCCTGGAAAGAGAGGAAAGGTTGGGGATGCGGCTAGCAACCCCACCCCGTAAAACAAATCTAACCGCTAAGGAAATTTCAAAGCACAAACAAAATATAAAAAATAAAAACAAAATTATTCCTCTTTGGAATCGGAGAGACGAAATGACGCTGGTCGGTGAAAGCCTTCGGGAAGCCAATCGGCCGAATTGTCTTCACTCGATGAAAGCAAAAGCAAGCATAAGGACATGGAGTGTCCACACAATGTCTGAAGCTGGCTGGCATAGAAGTGCTTGAAATCTGATAAGGCAGATGGAATGGAAGTGGACTCTCCAAACTGTCAACTGGAGAGTCAACAATCTGCCCTTTTTTCCAATCGGTAGACACCTTTCCTTCCCTCTTTCCAAACCGTCTGCAATAGTGATATGAGAATGTCCGCTTCTGATGCATCTGAGTCTTTTCTCAGTGCTTCTGGAGGGATTCCATGTGGTGCTGCCACTCTCCCAGATTTCAGAAACTTCATGGCGTTCAGGACTTCACTTCGGCTTTTGTCGGAGGGAGGGCTTGTGTTCACTGGTAATTCTGTGACTGGGCTGCTGGTGGTATTTCTGGACAAGTTGCAGGTGGCGCTGTTGGTGGCGGTGGTGATGGTGGTGGTGGTGATGGTGATGGTGGTCGATTTAACAGTTTTCTGAAGTGGTCAACCCATCACTCTCTTCGTTCCTCCTCTTTGCTAACTAGGTTTCTCTCACTATCTTTCATTGCTCTCATCTGTGTTGATCTCTCTCCTGCCACATAGTAAGTAACCTGGTTATTTGATACAATATTGTCAGGTCTCTGTCTCTGCCACCTGCAGCCTGTTCAGGTTCACTTGCCAATGTGTTGTAGGAGTGTCTTTTGTCTTTGCGCGCACTCTTCTTCACTATTTTGTCCAGTGTAGTGTTTTGTAGGTTGTGTTCAGTTCCTCTCCTCGTTGTTCATCATTGCACTGCACTGCACTGGTTCATATTTTGCTTCACTATCTTCCTTTCCCAGCTCCATCAGCTTCCATGTGTCTGTAGAGATCCATTCCTTGTCTTGCTTCTTTTTCCTTCCTAGCACGGTTATGCAAGTTCAGAGACTTGACGTGTTACGAAAAGCATTTCCAACAAACTACAGACATTCATGAACAGCTGCTGCCTACGCTCACTCCATATTGACACTGAGGATCAGATGAATGGCCAAAATAATAAGGATAAGAATGAGAATAAGCAACAAGGAAGTGTGGCTGGCTCGCTGGCAGGCAACGAATCAACCAAGAACCCATCCCCCAACAGATATACAGAAGAAAGTTGGGATGGATTGGATTGGGGAAACACTGAGAAGACTGTTTGGGGATATCAAGTGTCATGCCAGGCCGTCGAGTGGAATCCAATAAGAAACGACGATTGTGGCGTTCGAGGGTGACATGGAGGAGATAGTGTGAAGAAGAAAATGAAAGCTTGTGGGCAGACGTGGAGTGAGGTCGAAAAGACTACGGAGAAGAGAGTGAGATGACGACGTGCTGCGGAAGCCGTATGTTCCACTATGAACCCAAGGGAAGAATAAATAAATAAACAAATTGTGAAGTGAGTTCATTTGCCACTTTCCCCTAACAGATCATTAGTAGAATAATAGTCTGTATTTCCATACAAATCCCGTAATATATATGTCACGTAAG